CTGTCTTCAGGACTCATGAGACTGAAGACAGCTCAGTGAGTGTTGGACACAGTGTCCACTCACTGGCTGGTCCGTGTAAACACGAGGGATGAAGTCAGTTTGGTGTTGGGTGTTTCACTCAGGATCTCAATGACTCATTCATTCAGGAGCTGTCAATCACTACCTGTCAATCACAGAGGACACGCCCACAGCGGGTCACATGACGTGTTCGTCGACGTCTTTATTAAAACATGGTCCCGACGTGAAATCCAACATGAAACCAACTTCACTGTGGCACCAACTCAGCTGCTAACTTTGATCAAGTTTACATGAGATCAACCAAGGTTCGGTTCTGGGTCAACTTTCCGCCGAACGACTCCGTTCCTCTGGAAAATGCGGTAAAGAAACGCGTGTTGTTTACGGTGAAGTTTCGGTTTACCTGCGAGCTACGAAACTTTCAATTCAGCATCATGTTTACGGAGTCCGGTACGTACCCTGCGCTGCTAGCGGGCTACAGGCTAACAGGAAGCTACTTAGTGAAGTAGGTGATGCCGAAGTTGAAATAAAGTAACAAACACAAAGCAACAGATCAAACTACCGCAGACAAAGTCCCCGCGGGGTCAACAACTACGTTCACACGTGAACTGACAGCACAGACACGAGTCCTACCTGTGACCGCACTCTGCAGCTAGCAGCCGGCTAACTCCGGCTAACTCCGCTCCGAGCGGCCGCTGGTCAACTCACTCACAGGCTACACGTCCAGAGTCCGCTGCATCATGGGTTAGTGTGATCCGAGGGAAGCAGCAGACCAACAACAGACCCACAACACACAACAGACCCACAACACACAACAGACCAACAACAGACCCACAACACACTGAACCAGGAAGAGCCCCGCTGCACACACACATTCCTGTCTCACTGCGCTGCTGGGGACCTCTCCCTGACGTCATCCATCTCACCTGAACGAGTGACGTCGCAACACATTTTTATTAATATGTACCCCCCCCCCAAGTTTCAATCATGGCGTCTCTGACCTCTGTATTGTGTCACCCAGCTCTAACGTCCACTGTTTCTTTAGTTTGGTCCATGTCCCATCTGCTAACCTGGAGGAGGTGGAGTATATAACATAATTAGGACATTTCCTACTTTCCTCACCCAGTTGCAGTGTCCCGAAGCACAAGTTTGGCCCACATTAGCATATGTGGTATGAAAATTGTCCAATTAGAAAAACACACAAAAGTTGTCATATGTAACTTTCAGGGAAGTTCAGTGATCTTTACGGAAATGTGTCTAAAGTGTAGCTTGTTGAAATATTAACAAACGGAGTTAGTTGCGCTGCGTATGCCTCAATGGGTCTCCTGAACACCAAAAAGCTATTTATCAACTAACTCATGACTCAAGTCATTTAATGTCAAGAACACGGTCTGAGCAGATCAAAGATTAACTGTGGCGCCATCATGAGGACAAATTTCCCATTTTGCTCGTATACTGGCATTAAAATTAAAAAGTTTAATTTGAAGTCATTTCAGGAAGTGCTTAGAGTTGAAATTTTAGCAGTAGTGGAGAACGTACCAATATCAGGGTAAGAAATAATTAAAGCAAATGCTAATGGTTGCTTTAATGACTGATCAGTTTATTCACAGATTGAATTAACACTGTTCAGGGTTTTTCATGTTGAATTTCTCTCATTCGGTCGTTAAGTCACTACTGGTGTCGGCCTACACACCTGTAATTCAGATGAAAATCCTTTAAGATGTCACCGTCACATGAAGACTGAAGAAATAATCAACGTCCTCCACACAGAGACAAACAGGAGGCAGCACAGAAAGAGCTTCATTCTTTATTCTTCTTGAATTTGGAAGAAAAGATAAAAGCCAAGGATTTGGCCCCTTACCCACCCTGAAAGTAAACACATTCTGTGGATGTATGATGATGATACAGTTTTATTGCCATAAACATTGTTTGGAAAGAAAAATTTAAAACAGCTGTTACTTTTTGTTTTTTCTTTGTGTGTATTCTATGGTACATAAGAAAAAGTTCTTCCATTTAATGTCCTGGGAAACAAAGCAAAAGCAAAGTTTATCAGCGACTAAAATGTTCTCAAAGCGACGCAGACTGAAAATACTAAGGATTTAAATCCTGTTCAAGTGATCCACTACAGACCCAGACCTGATCCTGGTCCACACTGAGACAAGAGACCTGGACCAGGTTAAGGACCAGTGAGTTCAGATCTGCCAACAGGTTAAAGATGGAACTACAGGTGACCACAAACCAAAACTACAACTTTGTACAATAATTATCCACTTTGACTTTGTAGCTCATTCAAAACTTTTCACCAGTTTTGTAGAATTTTCTTAATGGGGGTTGACTTCCACATAATCCACACTGAAGTAACGAGAGAGGGCCCAGAAAAAAAAAAAAACTTCAAATTTCTTCTTTTCTGTTGAAACACGTCACGTTAGCGCCACCGTCTGGCCAGTAGAGTGTCGGAGGTGGTTTAAATGACTCAGTGCTGTAAACAAAGACAGATGAAGAACAGTGGAGAGATTGGAAACAGAAAGAGGTGAAGAAAATGGGGAGCAAAAAGCAAAGGGAAAAAAATAAAATTAGGGAAGAAAAACATTTTTTCATACTGTCTCTTTTCCTCTTTCCTAGTATTCCCCCTTTTCTGTTCATTCATTCTTCCCTTCTTTAAATACTTTTCTATCAAATTTCTGGTCGATCAAAAAATGGAGTGAGAAATCAGACACGTGTGGAAAGACAGGAACATCCATCCATCCCTTATCTATACGACTTTAGGGTTTAGGGAGCTGGAGCCATTTCCAGCTCCAATGGTTCACCCAGGACAGGGTCAACACACAGACATGTCCACTCCCAGTCAATAACAGTCAATTTAGAGTCTCCAATTACACTGACACAATTCTATTTGTTCACACTGTGGGAGGAAGCCAGAGAAAACCCACACAAACAGAGAACACGCAAACTCCACACAGACACTGAGCCAGGGCTGGTGCCCCGTGTGAGGGCAAGACAGGAACAAAGAGGAGACAATTAACATTACATCAAACTATGAAAAGGAAATCGATGAGGGATGAAAGAATAGAAAAAGAATGAAAGGAGACAAAATGTATTAAGGAAGAAAATAAGAGTTTTTTCTAAAGTCCCGTCTTTTCCTTTATTTCTCGATTATATTTCTGTTTTTGAACAGTGGGAAAAAGGTGCTGGGGCATCATTTGAAAAGAGGGTTTCGACAAACCACCTTCAGGCGGTAATCCACCTTGGTGGTGCCATCCACCAATATACTGAACAAAGAAGATGATCTTTTCAAATGTGCAGACGGGAGGAGGGCGGAGAGGAAAGATCAGAGGAAGTCTTGATTTCAACGTGGATCAAGGGGAACTTCTTTATGAGCAGCGTTCAGTGTGGACACCATGAATCTTACTGAACAGAACAGGTTTGGCTCTGTAACAAGGAAGAACTCATCCATCAAAAAGTCTCAGATTACCCATCAGCTCGAGACAACCAATCAGAGGAGCCATGACTGGAGGCCACACCTTCACTGGCTCTCTGTGAGAAGCGTGATGCCTTCAGGGTTCGTCAGACACAATAAAATGTGTCAAACTCCACATTTCTGGTTTATTTGAACAGTCTTTGGTTTACAGACAAACTTGTTCGTCACTGGTTTTGAAATGTGATTATTTTCCTCAGATTTCGGTGAATAAACTGGTTTTCCCTTTTTCCTCAGCACCTGAATGCAGCGGCACAGCAACAGTTAATAGGTTGCCAAATGGAAGAAAATCCAACAGAAATTGAATGCGGCACTAGGTCTCATGCGGGACTGATCAACAACAACGGCATCACCTACCACCAGTGCATCATGGGAACAGAACAGATCATGCTGAAGCTACAGGTGTCTGTTTTAAAGAAAACGTTTCTATGAGGTATCAGCTGATACCAGTGGGGGAGGGGCTGAGGTTGTCAAGAGCTGACTATCGTGACAAGGGTGAAACCCCGCCCACCCAGGGACCACAGAAGAAGAGTATGAAGACTGTTTGGGTCAAAGCTGGAAACCCTGACTGATGTGTCACCACGGCAACAAGCAACAGTGAAGAAGAAAAAATGAAGGGAAACACTCAGGGTGGGGGAGGAGCCTGACTACTACATAATACTAAAAACTTGACAGGTTATTTAACGAACAAGTTTTGACCAAGAGGAGGAGGATGGGGCGGGGCTACTGGATGAAGCAGGTATGACATCACAGTAAGCGGTGATGAGGGGGTGGGGCAGAGAAACCCAAAGTTGGGACATGCGTTCACAAGCTGCTCGGTGTGTTTACAGGTTAATTACTCATCAGGGGTTCATCTTTATTCTGACTAAGAATAAATACTCTGCTGAAACTTAACTCAAACAGAAAGGAGAAGAAGAAAGAGAGGAGGGGGAGGACATTGTCCACTCACTCACTGTCTGGCTGTCAGGAAGTTAATGATAACTGTTGCGTTTAATCTATTCACTCACTCTCTCCACCCTCCCTCCCTCCCTCCCTCTCTCTCTCGTCTAACCTCCCCACTCCCTCTGGCCCTTGTAGCCTTCAGTCTCTTATGGTTTTTCTCTGGAGATCACCTCCTCTCGTGGTTTGGCTCCACCGAAGATAGCGGAGTTTGGGTTGGCGACCTGGTTGAGTGGCTCAGCGACAGTCCGAGGCTTCAGCTGCAGCCGAGGCCGCTGTGCACGCTCCTCTGTGCGGACCACAAACAAACAATATGAGTTAGTTAAACTCTTTTTCATGAAGCTGATTAAAAGTGTTGATTTAACTTAACAACAGACAAACTAGCTTCACGTTAACTCGACTAAATGACGTAATAAATGTGTAAATAAAAGTTGTGAGACAGGAACCTTCAGATGGTTCTCTGAAGTCTGTCGTTCCTCCACGGGGGGGAGCGTCTCTGAAGCGACCCATTCCTCCTCCTGCTGCTGCTCCCGGTCCTGCTCCCGGTCCCGCTCCCGGTCCTCCACCACCACCCCTTCTATCACCGGGGCGACTGCTGCCAACTCGACCCCGCCCCCCCATGTAATCATCATCTCTAAAACCTGTGGAGACAGATGGGTAAGTCAGGTGACAACAGCCCTCAGGTGACCTGCAGCATCTGGATCCTGTAACGTTACACATTGAGCATGAGATGGTTGAGGTGAAAGGAATTGGGGGAGGGGGGGGGTGTTCCACTTGATTCTACTTTTATTTCTTAACATTTCATTTGTCTTCTAAAATATTATCCTGTCTTTTGATTGGCTACAGCCCAGCAGTGCTCTGATTGGCCAGCTGGGATCTGCTGTTGTCCAACCTGAGCCGCTGACCGCACGTCCTCCTGGTTGGTCGCTGAAGTCCTCACGGGAGTCCTGTCCTCCTCCTGCGCCTCCTCTGGGAGCAGATCGAAAACCTCTACCTGCAGAGGACAGGGGGAGTTTAACGCTTAGAGGAGAGGGGGGAGGAGAGGAGAGAGGGGGAGGAGGGGAGGAGGGGAGGAGGAGAGGCGGAAGGAGAGGAGGGGGAAGGGGAAGAAGAGGAGAGGAAAAAGGGGAGAGGACAGGAGAGAGGAAAGAAGTGGAAGGAGAGGAGAGGGGGAAGGAGAGGAGAGGACAAGAGAGGGGGGAGGAGAAAAGAGAGGAGGAGAGAGGAAAGA